TCGATTGGCCCGGAGACTGGCGCCACCGCAGACCGGCCGTGTCATGTCAGGACGTAACTTGCCAAAATTTTTAGTGAGATTTCCTTCAAACGGGAAATACTCAGCTGAAATGTTTTCAGGGTCTTCGACAAAAACTCCGTTTCACAAGGCTCTGGTCCCAAAGCTGTACCATTTCAAATTCGGGAACAATGCCCATAACAAAGAATTCACATGCGATCTATTCAATGAGCGGCATCTGAAAAATGGCGATACCATGCTACTGAGAACATCTCCCTATGCTGGCCTCGAGCTTGCCAGCGGCGCGCCGGTTTTGGGGCCCGTCCGCGGCACCGCGGGGTCCTCGTCTGAGCGCCTCCGTCGACGGGCGGTCCGCCGTCGTTATCGATGACGTCCGGGTGGCGGGGAATTTGCTGGGCCAGGCCGCCGTGTCAGTCGGCTGAGCCCCGGTGGCGACACGTGCTGCTGGCGGGTCACGTCAGCCGAGACAGGGCCGGCGACTGGGGGACAGCGGTGTCGGCCTGAACACATCAGCCGAGACAGGGCCGGCGGCTGGGGGACAGTGGTGTCGGCCTGAACACGTCAGCCGAGACAGGGCCGGCGGCTGGGGGACAGCGGTGTTGGCCTGAACACGTCAGCCGAGACAGGGCCGGCGGCTGGGGGACAGTGGTGTCGGCCTGAACACGTCAGCCGAGACAGGGCCGGCGGCTGGGGGACAGCGATGTCGGCCTGAACGCGTCAGCCGAGACAGGGCTGGCGGCTGGGGACAGCGGTGTCGGCCTGAACACGTCAGCCGAGACAGGGCCGGCGGCTGGGGGACAGTGGTGTCGGCCTGAACATGTCAGCCGAGACAGGGCCGGCGGCTGGGGACAGCGGTGTCGGCCTGAACACGTCAGCCGAGACAGGGACGGCGGCTGGGGACAGCGGTGTCGGCCTGAACACGTCAGCCGAGACAGGGCCGGCGGCTGGGGGACAGCGGTGTCGGCCTGAACACGTCAGCCGAGACAGGGCCGGCGGCTGGGGACAGCGGTGTCGGCCTGAACACGTCAGCCGAGACAGGGCCGGCGGCTGGGGACAGCGGTGTCGGCCTGAACACGTCAGCCGAGACAGGGCCGGCGGCTGGGGGACAGTGGTGTCGGCCTGAACACGTCAGCCGGGACAGGGCCGGCGGCTGGGGGACGGCGGAGCTGACCTGGGTATGTCAGCCAAGACGCGTTTGACGGTCCAGGGTCAGTGGTCCTGACCTGAGCACTTCTGCATTCCGAGCATGACTAAAGTTCTAAGGATGGACCATCCATTGCCATGCCACGTTACAGCCACGCTAGTCTCTAGCCTGGCTGCAGTTGCAGCGCAAGTAGTGCCTACACACTTCTAACGGTCTTCACGAATGCGTGTAGCATTTCCGCACCTGTTCCTAATACGCCCTTGGCAGGTTAGTGCCGCCATGTTCAACACGGGTGTGCGGGATTAGCAGGGGGCGCCCGATGCAGCGTAATACATTCGGACCGTCACACTTACAAGTGACCCTATCATCATCAAACTGTGGCGCTGCCTGTTCCACAGAGCCGGGTTAAGTCTTGGATTACGGGGACGGCGTCGTTCTTGAGAAGTCGCGCCATCTATTGCGCCGCCGACGAGCTGGCCGTCGCGCCTCGGATCGTATTCCACCTGTTATGCGCACGAGTCATGATCATCCCGCTGATGAACGGCTGCCAGGCAATCGTCCGTCACCTTTACCACCCGTCTGGCTGCCAAGAACGCCTGGCGCTATTTACATGGTCGGCGTGTCGGCTGTCGTGCGGCTTTTAGTAGCTGTCCTCTATTCGAAAAATCCCACCTCGATACCTCCCAGCGCAGATTTGTTTTGATAGATGACGCCGGCGGAGAATTTTCGTCAGCGGTAACGGCCTGCTGGTGACAAATGGCGGCAGGCGTCGAGCGGAGACGCATTCGCAGCGCGGAGCAGTGCCACCGCCAGCTGCCGCCCACCGGCGACCGGTGCCAGAGGTCAGCGGCGCGGCGGCCGGGCGGACGGCGCAGGGGCGGGTCAGGCGCAGCGGGGCATGACGCCGGCGCCGACACGCCGGATGTGCGGCCAGACTGCCCGCCCGGCAGCCGGCCTGGCGCGTCGGTGGCCCGCGCGAAGCAGTCCAGAGTCACGGTCGGGGATGCGCCGGTCCAGTGAGCAGTCCAGAGTCACGGTCGGGGATGTGCCGGTCCAGTGAGCAGTCCAGAGTCACGGTCGGGGATGTGCCGGTCCAGTGAGCAGTCCAGAGCCACGGCCGGGGATGCACCGGTCCGATGAGCAGTCCAGAGCCACGGCCGGGGGTACCCCGGTCCGATGGATTGTTGCTGGAGCTCTTCTTTGCGTTCGGCGACTCTGCAGAAAACCTTGCTGCGTTGTCTGCAACGTTTGCTTGCATTCGCTTTCGTTTTAGGCGAAGACTACCAGTTGGCTTAATTTCTGGGTATGGAAATACTTCATCACGATATGGGCCATTCTCAGTTGTTAACTTATGTAATTGGTATGAAATGTATTTCTTGGGTCGGTGCAAACGGACATGTGGCAAGGAAAAGACGAACGGCAAACTAATGTCGGCAAACGAACGGCAAACTAATGTCAGAATAGCAGAGCAACTGCCACCGCCAGGTGAACCGGACGTTGTTCCGTCCGGAACTGAAAGAATTGACCGCACTTCTGCCGACCTGTGACGCAGCGTTAGCGGGTGGCCCAGAGGCGCGGATGGGGCCGGCGGAGGGTGTGATGATGCTGCCACCCGTCAGACTAGCGGCGCGAGACCCGCCGGGCCCTCGCTGAATCCAGACGGCGGCGCCGCAGTCGGCTGGCCAGGACCGAAGTTTCGCGAAGAAGACTGGGGATGGTCAAGGACAAAAATCACTAAAGCTTTACCGAAGTGCGCCAAAAAAATAATCGATGATTTGATTCCCTTTACTCGGAAAGTTGAGGCTGGGGCTGGAGCTCCCCAATGGAATAGGAACTGCATTCCCGCAGCGGACCACTATCGCAGTCTAACAGGATGACGTGACACGATTAAGATGATTATCGGCTTAACCAGTGGTGGTTTATCTTTGAATAGGTCTATACGGAGCTAGTGACAAAAAAGGTAAGGTTACGTCAGCTGGTACCAAAGCATCTGCTTACGCCTGCACCCATCTTATCGCGTGTTTTGGTGTTGTGCCTTCCCCTCGCGTCGTTGTCTCGAACGCTTAGTTTTTGTTGATGCTAGATAACTCTACTGTCCCTAAATTTTCAGATATTTTTGTTACGCACGCATTGGTACGTGTAGAGTACTATCTTGAGATGTGTGGAGAATGTGCTGCATCGGAGCGTGATAGTTGTTTGCCCGTGGCTGCTTGTGAGATGTATGGTGATGCCGAGCAGGCACACCATTTTTCCTTTCCCTTCGTTATTAGAATTATTACTTGGCGTACGTGTCCTCTGGTCGTTATCCCTTGTTTGTGGTCTTCACGGTTTCCCAGCTCAAGTCACCTGATTGCTAGTTCACTCACCCCGTGCCGTTATGCGGTACAACGCCTCACCAGTCCGACCTTGACCCGTCACTCCCGGGGCGGGAGTCACGCCCCCGAGACACTCTGGGTGTCGAAGTGGATCTGACCTCTGCCCTCTGTCCTGGCCGTCGTGACCGCCCTCCGACGGCGGCACGGGCGGGCGCTCGGCGGCGCAGTATCCGTCCCGGCGGGGAGTCGCCTCCGGGGGCCCGACAGCACCGCGGCGCGCCGGAAGCCCCGCGACTGACGTCCTGTCCCCGGGGCCTCCCACCTGGCCGACGCCCCGCCGCCCCGCCGCGCCGGGGCCTCGGGCCGGACGGAGTGGGGATGAGAGGGGGCGGTCGTCGGTGCCGACGTGGACCCCTCGTTACTGCAGCTCCGTCGACGGCCGAGCATCGACAGACGCCGCACGAGCAGCGGCGCAGACAAAGAGCGGCCTCATTAGCGTCTGTAACCGCCTCTCCCCATCCCTTTCAGCCCTCCCCTCCCCCCCCCCACAGCACCCACCCACACAGTGCGGGGACCAGAGCCTGCGCCGTCAGTTTTTACGTGAGCTGACACGCACATGGGTTGCTGCTCTATATTTGGCGCGGCGGAGTTTTTGAAGTCTCGACATGTGAATCCAACCGTGCTAAAAATGATCACTATAAGAGTATGCGGACCAAAATGGCATTGCCGTAGGAAACTGCTATGCCGCACATGACCATGCTGCTCGGTTCTTATGATTGTAATGGTCGTTAGAAATCCATTAGAAGAGCCGTTAGTTTCTAATGTCCTCACATGACACCCCTTCCTTTGCTGTGCCGCTCTTTGTACGCGAGCTAGGGTAAATCTAACGTGCATTGTTCGCTCAGAGTCGCAAGATATATTGCTACGGAGCATCATCACGCGAGCCGTTTGTTCACAGTGCATGCGCATAAAAGCAGACGCCTGTATAATTTTGCAGATCATGTCATAAATTTGCAGTGTAAAACCGCTTGTGAAACAGCTACCGCGTACCTTTTACTGGGAATTAATTTAAAGTTGTGTATGGACATCCGGCATTAACTAAAATAATGTCAGTGTCGTGATGGTGGCCGCGGGCGGCTCTAGGATGGACTTATGCAGTGCTGTATGCCACTAACGCTTGATGGAGCTCGTTGCTCTTCCAATTAGAGTAAGTTTGCGCGTAAGGTTAAATAAAGTGCGATGGCTTTTTAACTGCACCATTTTGCATACAACTGCAGCGCTGTCCAGAGCGAGATGCATGTCAGAGATGCTTGCCTCTTTCTGCCTGATATGTTCGGATTGCATACATTAACGCCCGCCGTTTGAGCCACATGCACCAGGCGCCATCCTGCCCGTGTCTGCCCTGTCCCGAATCGGGCCGAATGACAGCCTCGGTGTCCGCTGCGCCGTTTTCTCCACTGTTTGATGCGTTTCCAATGTGATCAATCGTCGGTGGATGGTCATCAGTAGCTGTCTGCTTTCAGGCCAGCTGACTCACGTGTCAGCTGCTGAGGGCAAGACAGCTGAGCTGCCGTGTGACGTCACGCCGCCGGTGGCTGGGGACGAGCTGCGATTGGTGCTCTGGTATTACGGCACCGGCGGCACGCCGATATACACGTGAGGGACGGCGCCGGAAGCTACAATGACCTGAGTTAGCCTATTTGCGTGGAGGAGAACTGGAGGGGTTTAGTGCGTGCTTGACGCTTGCTTTTAGTCAATTGTAGATCAGTATTTTTGTATCCGGCCGTGCGTTATGCCATGAAATCCCATGCCATTTGAATGAATGACTTTGGGCTCGGGGAAGACAAGTGAAACTCAAGCTTAACCTTTGCCTTAGCTTAACATTTTCCTCGGTGAGTAGATTCCTAGTCCAAGACCATTGGAATGCTCCTTACCGTAACTTTTAAATCGCGGATGAAAAAAGTTTATTGGTCTCATTTCACCAGCGGAAGGACAATCACAATGCATAACAATGACGTTGATGTTCCATCGCGGCGGCGCGTGGACGCATTCTAACAAGCCTTGTTATCGAAGCACGATTGAAATAAAACAATGCTGCAGCTCATCGCACTCTGCAAGTCACGTTTTTTTTTACCACCGCAGTAAACACTAAGATATTTGAAACAGATTCTTTACGCGATGCATTGCTTATTACGGCACATAGGAAAAACATATTCCGGGATACTGAAACCATGTGAGCGTAATGCTATGCTGAGCTGTTTGCATTGTCAGCTAAGGTACCACAAGTGTAGCATCATGCTAGGCAAGGCTTCCCAAACAAGGATTCGTTAGACCAGCACGGATACTGTGTAGTCTGCTCGAGGCCCGGTATTTTTACCATCGACTGCAGCGGGCAGACCAGTCCCATACCGTCGTGGGTCTGCGGCTGATTTCAGAGTCCCCCGGAGTTTTTTCCTACGCGTTTCTCTTGTCAGGAGTCTCGATGACGTGGCTCCGGGGTTACGATAAGGACGCTGGCTTTCGTTATGGCTAGCTGATGGTCTGATCTTGATTCAAAGAGGAAGGCACAAGTTGTCCGGCTGACACTCATCGCTTGTTGTTGGCATCGATCGATTCATATCGTAACGCAGTTAAGAATGACGCAGTAGAACTATCCCAATATCTTTGTTGGTTTTGTGTGGCGTAGACCTGATACCGCGTATGTATCTGTGATGCCTTACCGTTAACTTGATACGGCACAACTTTTTTCATCAGCCACATCGTGTTTTGCTTATGCGATCCTCGCTCCAGGTGCGCGCTGCCCCGAGTGTTCGATCATTGCACGTCTTCCGACAGCTACCCTGGACCCTGTCCAGGATGATGCATTAAGCCTGCACGGAGGTGGTATTCTAGTGGCCGTATTTCACGAGATGATGGTGAGGGGCGTGCACTTGGAAATGAGCTGGGGCGCACTTCGACGTGACTGATTCGCCGCGCTCTGCTAGGATGGCACTGCCTAGCGAAGCTCAATGACGACGCTCCGTTAATGGGCCGTCGCATCATCCCGGCGCGCACATCGCTTCTCTGCGACCTGGCGGTGTGAATCTCCCAGTCCGCGTCTGCGATACAAAGCGACGCTGCCATCCGTGCATGGTCCTGAGCCCTCGCTGTCGGCAGGTATGACTCTCGCAAGAGCAGCCGGATTAGCGGCGCGCACTGGGTGGACCCCAAGCTGGACAGCAGCCGGGTGCAGTTCCACGCGGACTCCCGGCCGGCCCACCTGCGGGTCACGGCCGTGCAGCGCGAGGACCAGCGCCTGTACCGCTGCAGGGTCGACTTCCTCCACTCGCCCACCAGAAACTCGCGCGTCAACCTCACCGTCATCGGTGAGTACTGCTCGACCCCCTTCCCCTCCGTGGGGGAGCGCCGTGTATTGCGCCGCCCCCGCGCCAGAGCTGGAGACTCCGGGTCTGTCGCACACTCAAATACTGAGTCTCACCGCGCCAAACCGTTATTACAGCTGCGGGGCGCACGCTGATGAAATTACTGCGGACAGATCATATATGTCGACTTAGCACAGGAAAGTGGACGTTTTCCACGAAGTGCATTCATAACGTGGGCTGGTTTTGGCTGCCGGTGACCCGAACGCGGTGGTGCGGAATTCCGGCAGGGCGCGCCTCGCCGCCTGACCGGGCTGCTATTTCAGGGTCGACAGGCCTCAGTGACGGCATTAAGTCACATTGCCGCGGAAATGAAAATTAAACAGACGTGTATATTGTAATGTTTGTGGCATATTTATCTTTCAGAAGCTTTCGACGTAAATTTTGTCGTTAAGGTATTGATGTGTGCCGAAGATCTATATTTAAACCGACTTGCACTGTTGCATGCAGCACCTGTATTCTGAGACAGCAAAGGTTCTTTTATCTTCTTCGCTAGCTTCACCAACCTCCCACACGCATTGCACACGACCGTGACCTGACCTGACCTACCGACGATGCCCACCTCCAGCTCGGGAGCCGCTGATGCTGAAGCTGATCTAAGGGATCACTCCTGATTGGGCCTGTTTACGAACTGGCGGTGTGGGCCACCTGATCACGCCTGCTGACAAGGCTCGGAGGCTCAGAGGCGCCATGTTTTCCTATATGACGCCAGACCTGCAGGAGAGGCCGGCACAACGGAAACTCCGCCGGCGTACAGTCAGCACCCAGACCGGGCGCCCTGGCCCGCCGCCACGCGGCTGCGCTCTTATCTGCGCCTTATCGCGCTCGAGGGCACCGGTGGAGCTGTTGACACTCGGCCCGGATGACAGTGCTCTTTGCCTCCTGCAAGCGTGGGAATCACTGCCGCTCCCATAAGTAACGAGGAAGAGTAATGAGCTGTGAACGATTTTTCAGCCCCAGCGATTAGTAGTTATTTTGTTAGGGGTCGTTAATTGCTGCGGAAAATGGAATTATGGCGTGCGAGCATTAGCGATATTGTATTTTGTTGTGGATAGTCTGAGACGTCTGTTCTGATCGGGGCAGAACAATATATCCGGGCAGACTGATAGAATTAATGTTTTCGCCGTTTACTGGCACTTTGACAAAAAAATCGCTTATAGTTATGTTCCAGGCTCTGGTGTAAAGTAGCTATTAGGCCTGCTGAACTACCAATGGCTGCGTGTTATTTTCAGTCGTTCGCTCTTGAATCCAATCACAGCGGCCCGGCCGTTCTCCTCGGCCGTGCATTTGGTAATGAAACCCATTTCTCGTGGTGCAACGCTTCCGAATCCAGCCAATCACCAGCGGACGAGCTCTATATGTCATGTTTCGCACTGCATGCCACTAGAGATCATTGCGGTAATCTTGTTCGGGCTCAGCCTTCACGAGACCGAGCGAGGGCAATCAACTCCGGCAGGCGGGCACAGCTGCCTTCTTCTGTGTCCCCTTCGCGCCCCCATCCGCCGCATAAGTGTATTTCTGTCGTGAGGCCCGTCTCGCGGGCCGTATTGATTGCTGCGACCTCCCTTTTCTCTCTCCCCTTGTCGTATTTCACGGTGCGAAATTAAGGCAGTGACACATGACGATTGGGGTATGACGTAGGCTTACGTTTCAGTTGCTCAAACAGCTCAATATTGGGATGGAAAATGGCCACACGTAGGACTTGTGTAAGGCTGAAAGCTTTGCGCAGCTCGTGCTGAATTACCACAATCACCACAGGTATGAATGGCCGCATAAAAAATAAGGCACAAGAGAGAGCCATGGCTGGTTTATCTACAGCCAGTATTTTAAAGCTCCCCCAGCTTTGCAGGGACGCGCCACAGTTGCACAGCTCTTGTTGTATATATTGGACCGTCATCGTGTGCAGGCGTCGCACCGCAGTTTGCATGTGACCTATGACCGACGTTGCGCGATCCTGACGCACCCCACCTGGCAACATGAGGGCTTACTCCGAGCACTGCCGCCTGACTCCGCCCGGACCTCGTTCTGCTGAGACCAGCAGGAGCCGCTGGACGCAGCCGTATTTATGCCCACGGCTTCCCCCAAACTACACGGATGATGCTGTTCATTACGAATATATTGTCCGGGTCGCTGCGCGCCGCTGCTGCCGTTGGCTCAGGAATATGGAAATTTGGCCGGAAAATTCCACGCCACGCTCGTTCGTTCGTATGGATTTTCGTTATGGAACAGACCCGTTCCGCGCAGAAAAATGGGACGCCGTTTTGCTGTCATATTTCATATTATTAGCTTTAGATACGGCGCATCGGTTTCCAACCACTGTTTTTCTATTTTGATGTTGATCCGTTCTATGTTTTCTTGTGTTTTTACTCCCTAAGCCAACGCTTGATGCATGGTGGAACGGCCTATTTGAATTGTAAATGGCAAGCCCGTGCATTTACATCATAGTGCATTGCAGTGAGCCGAAATTCGCTTGATGTTTTTATTCAAGAGCGACTAGCAAATACTTGATTTGGCTCAATACATCTTGCCGCTGTTCAGCTCTTCCTGTGGGACTGCCCGCCGATCTCTCAATCTACAATAAAGTCCCGCCAGTTGCTCAATAAATCAGGCAGATGCCAGTGCGTCCCTGTACCTGAGCGTCCGCCGTGACTGAACCCTCCCCTCCCTCGTCCCTCCTCACCCAGGACGCCTAGTCCGGGAGAAGGCACCCATAACAGGTGACGTCTGTGTCGCACAGTGCCTCCGGGGCCTCCGGTGGTGACGGACGAGACGGGACGGGTGATCGGCAGGGGGTGCCAGCTCTCGACACCGCTGAGGGCCAGATGCTTCAGCTCACCTGTCGCTCCCTGGAGGTGAGGCTGCACGCGCGCGCGGCACCCCGCCGGCGCGCGCCCACCTCAAAGGCCGCTAGTTTTGTCGGTGCTGGTGCAGCTTGTGGAGGCCCTTAAAGGAGCAGGATTGTGTCACATTATTGCACCGGGAAGACGCAGGGTGTGTCACACCACTGCACCGGGGAAGGCGCAGCGTGTGTCACCGGGGAAGGCGCAGTATATGTCACATCACTGCACCGGAGAAGGCACAGGGTGTGTCACATCACTGCACCGGGGAAGGCGCAGGGTGTGTCACACCACTGCACCGGGGAAGGCGCAGTGTGTGTCGCATCACTGCACCGGGGAAGGCTCAGGGTGTGACACATCACTACACCGGGGAAGGCGCAGTGTGTGTCACATCACTGCACCGGGGAAGGAGCA